AGAAAATAATTTTATGGTTGGGGGTCACAACATGAGGAACTGTTTTAAAGGGCCAGAAGGTTAAGAACCACTGGATTAGCTAAAACATGTGTTCTCTGTTGGTTTGTTTGGTTTGATTTATTTTGTTAAGGATGAGTTGGTTAATATTCACTGTAACCAGAATAAGAAAAGTCTAATTTCTCTGAACAAAAGGAAGGAAAATTATTGGCTATTTCATAGTCTTTTTTGTAATAGAATTATACCTATATCTGTATTGGTCTCAATCTGTACTAATCTTAACTCTCTCTGACTTAGTTGTCACAACAGATAAGACTGAAGGTGTACTCTTTCTTCCAAGATTAACTACGTGTGTCAACAGCCCCATAACCAGAGATTAAGAAGACCTGACCTCTGGATCCAAACCAGACTAACCAGATCATGGCCAGTCCTAACTAATGGAATAGAAACCCAAGTCCTAACATATCTCCACCACCTCCAATTTAATGACAGGAGACAAGAATGGCTCTGACCAATGAAAGATTACTCACCTCTGCAGGTGGGTCTTGGGATCTTCTCACTGACATGCAGGTGCAGTCCTGCCAGTTCTTCCCCACACTCTGTTGAATTAGTCAGGTCAGGCTTGGAATTGGAAATGCCTGTACAGAGAGAGATAACATGTGGGCCTTGATGAACTAGGACTGGGGACCTGCTGTTTCTCAAAGGAGTGTCCTAGGTAAGAGAGGAAATAGGAAGGGTCTGGAGACCACTTAAGGTAGCTCATCTTAGAAGCTTGCCTCTCTCACATCGATGTTTCTCTCTCTCTGTCTCTCCCCCTCTCCCTTCCACTCTCTCTAAAATATCCTCAGGTGGAGGATTAACAACAAAAAAATGAAAATATCGCCCTACCTGGTTTGGCTCAGTGGATAGACCGTTGGCCTGCGGACTGGTTCGATTCTATTAAAGGGCACAAGCCTGGGTTGCAGGCTCGATCCCCAGTAGGGGGCATGCAAGAGGCGGCCAATCAATGATTCTCTCTCATCGTTGATGTTTCTATCTCTCATCTCTCTTTCTCTCTCTCTCTCTCTCTCTCTCTCCCTCTCTGAAATTAATAAAAATATATATTTTTTTTAAAATGAGAGTATCATCACCCATTTCAAGGAGTTACTATATGTTGTGCACCCATGACAGTTCCTGGTACACAGAACACGTTTAATACCAGGAAGTTGTTACTATAACTCTGCTATTTGCAGTTCACTCCAGTTCCCAATGGTGTCACTATGATAGTCTTCACCCAGAGAACCTCAAGGAGCTAAGAGTACACAGAAAATGCTTAACAGCCTTTCCATGTCCTTCCATCCGGCTAACCCACGCCCTCACCTCCTGAGACCATTTTCCCATAGGTCTCCAGCATGAGATCCCAGTATTGCTCCTTCTGAATGGAATCCAGGTGCTTCCAGTGCTCCTAGAAAAAACACAATGCTGTAAACTCACCGAAGGTTTCTGGATCCTGCATTCCCTGCCTATCGAGGCTCAGAAGCAAGCAATGTGCCTTAGGAGCCTGCCATCACAATATGTAAGAAATCATAGGAGGTGGTTCAAGGAAAAAGGCCAAAGGGAAAACTACAGTCCCTTTATCAGTATTTTTTATCCTGGGTAGAAAACAGTTAGGCTTTAAGTTCTACATTATTTTCAAGTTGCTTGTATTCATGAGTAGAGAATAGAGAGAAAGCAAGGAGCCCTTTCTTTTTTTCTTTTTTTTTAATAATTCTTTATCGTTGAAAGTATTACATATGTTCCCTTTCTTCCCCTTTTAACCTTCTCTAGCCCGCTCCCATCCCCCCGTCCCAGGCCTGCAAGGAGCCCTTTCTACACAGTCCTTTGCTTTAACTCTTCCACTGCCTACGTAGAGATCTTTGAACAGTAGGAGCCTGATTTTCCCAGTATTTCATTAAAATCTGGAAATTCAAGAGGGAAAAGAGAAAAATTAAAAAGGTATTTGTTGGGAAAAGCAACTGTAAATCAGGAAAAAAGTGGGAAGAAGAAAAATGAAATCAACTAAGCTGTACACCTCAGTGAGAAAGAAACTAGTGGATTCAGAGCAGAGGGAGATGCTGCAGCCACACACATCTGGGCCCTCTGACAGTTCCGCATTTAGGGTCTAACATCAAATCAGGTTTCCTTCCAGTGAGTGGGAAATTGATGAGTTGTCTAGAGCAAGGAGCCCTTCAATTACCCCCAAAACATGTCTTTCTTAGGCTATGGACCTAAAGACTCAAAACTGGGAATGCCATCTAAGTAGGGTCTACTTTCATTAATTCAAATTTCAATCTCCCCTCCAAGGAAACAAATTGTATAGCAGAGTGATTACAGCAAAGTCTTTGGAGTCGAACATACTGGGTTTCAAGTCCCAGTTTTGCCACTTCCTAGCTGTGTGATCTTGAGCAAGTGACTAAACCTTTCTGGGCCTCAAGTCCTCACCTAATGATAGTACTGAACTCAAAAATTGTTGGGAGGCTTAACAGAAATAGTGCAAGTATCATCTGAGCACACTGTACTCTTCATTCCTAGCACTCAGCAGTTTATTAGTTATGTATATGTACATTATGCATATGACAGAATACCCAATCTTTTCTATACACACACATATAAAAGTATTTAATCAATAATTGGCTCCACTAGCACATAGCACAGTGAGAAAAGGACTCTCCACTGTTCTCTTCCAGTCCCCAAGCCCCTGTCCAGGACATAGTAGTCACTCAACACATACAGTCTGGGTGAAATATACAGCTCTTAGCAAACAGGTCCTCAGTAAATGATATATATATTGTTATTACTATCATATGCAATCTATGGGATACTCAATCTCCCAGACTAACACCAGGGTTTGCAGAGAGAATTAAGAGATTCTGTTCACTTTCAGGAACCCTAAAGTTGATAGCCATGGATTATTGTCATGAAAAGCCAGCTAGGCTATAGGGAGCAGAAAAGAAGAATGAGAAGATGAAGTTATCTTCCTATTACAAATAATATACATCAAAGTGAAGTGGAAATGGCTGAAAAGTAATGGAACACCAAAAACTCTTTTAACTAGCAGG